GAATTGATGGGTAACGAGCCCACGCCCCGAATTTGCTTCCTTACGAAACGCCCTAGGACCCCCCCCATCACAGACCTTGAGCAAACATCTGCTGTAAGAACACTCTCCCTGCGCCAACCCCCACACGCCAGGTGTGTCTTAGACCCACCCGGGAGATGTAAGCCCCTTGGCTTACCCCCCGTGACCAGCCAAGTTGTGTTCCATTCTAGACCCGCATCAGCTCAACCCCCATCAGCTCAACCCCCCCACCCCCTCTCCCCGCAACGTCCTCGACAGAGACCACGCTACCCGTGTGTCAGCAAAACTACCTGAGAGAAGACTGCACGCACGCAAGGCCTGTCAGGGCCTCCATCTTTTTCCCGCGACTCGGCCACCCACGCGCACAACCCTCGCTCTGCCTCGACGGTTGCTCGTCTCTATGCGATACAGCACGGAACTGGCACTTGTGTCCCGAGGCCTTCTGTCGATTAACACGCGCCCATCCCGCTTCCCTCCCACCTCTGCTAACATAAAGACTGCTTCCCATCTCCCTCGCTTCTTCTGACCGCCCCACACCTACCCGGACAGGTATCGATGACTGCCGCTCATCACGGCAGTACGTTAACGGTTAACCCATCCCCGTGACGCACTTATTTCGATCCAGCCCGATTCTCGCCAAACGTTTCCCTGTTTCCTCTCCCCAGTCCCGCCATGTCTGCTGCCGATACTGTACAATACTGTACCGTTGGTACCTCATTGCTGCATTGCATCTAGCCATTCCCCTCCTGCACTCATCTAGACCCTGCTTTTAGTCCCGGCCCTTTCCTTCGTATCCCTCGGGACGTGCTTCCGTTATAGATTGATTTGTGTACCTTCGAGATCGAGTGCGCAGGTACACAGTCTCATACGCTTTGAATTTTCAAATATCATAATTTATTTCTTTCATCTCGTCTTCGCACCCAGCTTACCGTGCCTCATCTGACACATGCGTCCTCTACCCTTTCAGTGTTGCATATCTACAGTCTGCGTTAAAAACCGCACTGTTTGTACTTTTCCTTCACATCACTATGTACTTTTCCTTCACATCACTATGTAATTTTCCTTCTCCCGCCACCCTAGATACGTCTTTGAAGCTTTTCACCGTACTTCCGAAAAGCACCCTCAACCCTCCGCCAAGCAAAAACGTGTTTGCCAACACCCCCGCAAACTCCTCAATTCTATCGCTGTTCATCTGTATCGCCAACGATTCCGTTCCCCCCATCTTCCCGCCACTACGCAGCAGCCACCCTCCATCTGAGTAATTTAGACGGACCCTGTCGGAAACTCTACCGCTCTGGTGTAGAAACGTCACCATCACGCCGACCCAAATAAACCCACCCTCAGTTAGCACCTTGACATACTGCATGTTCGTTATTTCCGTTGCCCGACATCATCCGCCCAGCATATGTAAATGACGCATTTGCTTCCCGAAACAGCAGTTCGCACGACCTCCCAACAGGGCACTTGGATTCATCTTCAGGTCGCTTCCCGCGTGACCTTGCACGTGGGAATATGGATGCAAAACTTCACCGTGAGACAGACAACCTCGCCATATTGTCCTCCCGCCTCGATTCGCAACGGCGAAGAGTTCTTTGTCTCTCAGGATGGCCCGCGTGCGTTGTCTTTTCTCGGCAGACACAAGCCGGCTTGCTCTCTTGCGCCCCGAGAGTGGGCACGGTCGTCGCCGCTGGCAGTGATTGACACAATGACAGCATTAAGAAATAGTAAAATTAGACCTCACCCTGCACCAATCACAGCTTCACTCACACCGGACAGACTCACCAAGGCTGAACACACGAGTATCTTTATTTACCTGTTGCCAAACTTACCGCACCCGTATCTTTCCTGCACATTTTTACGACCTCCCGCTCCCACAGACTACCGTTCCATAATTTTATCCATATTTATACTTGCCTCCTTCTCCCTTTCGCAATCATGAAATCCACGATGCGGCGAGAATCTATCAATGCCGACGTCTTAGATAGCAATAGTCCATGAACATGCCATGTTCCAGCATGATTCTGGGCCCTTCCATAACATATTGGACTACTGCTCTCGTCAAGCGTGACCGCTCTTTCCGCTCCTAGCCCATCCGTGGATATTCTTGCATTGAAAGTCTACCCGTCTTGCGAGGAGTGCCCGAGACCGCCAGCTGGAGCAATGTATAACTAGATTTTTTACCGGTGGTTATGTCTCGCTGCATTCTCTCCCATTGTCGTGTCGAAAGCAGCTGCCATTTTTCTCCACCACACAATGACTCTTCTTCTATTCTCTCATCTTGCTCCTACGCAATGTACCATGCGATGAACGGTTGCCGACTTTTTCCGATGTACTTATTGGATGACGAAGGAAAAGATTAATCGAAGCACTACGGCGATATGGCTATGACACGCATTTCCAGCAATTGCAAGCTGCATTATGTACAGTACGGTAGTTCGTCGATGATGATGCCTTGACGCACCCACAACTTTGCAACGCCTTGAGAGAAGCTGTCAAAATCTTGACTGATTGCAGCGCAAGTTGTCATCGAATCGCATCCATGTCTGGTGTTCATTTCACTGGTATAATTTGGGTAATGGTGTATTTTGGGCACTTTTCAACCCACGATCCTCTGCCCTCCCCGCCTTCCACAACTATGCAGAGTCCATGTCTCACACACACACATACACGCACCCAGCACCTGGACAGTAAAGTTTTTTCCTCCTCTTCTCTGTCCGCCTCCTGGCTCGACGGTGGCGGTATGCCGCCGGAAATGAGAGCTCAAACCCTCGCACACAAGTGACGAATCAAAAAGAGTAGAGAAGAGCGCGCTAGCCGCGCAAAACGCCTTTTTCTATAATTGGGAATATGAAAGAAAGCAGTAGACGCCCTCAAAGCATCGTATGAGTGTTAGAAGCATGAAAGGCGTGGCTTTTCTGACGTGCAATGCCCCTCAGATGCTCTCACAGCCTGCGAGATGTGGAAATGTGGACAGTAAACACACACTGGCTATCAAGGCACGCGGGCGGCGTGTGTCAACAAGGTTAGTTGGTGAGAAGGGAAGTAAGGCGCCTGTTGGAAGAGAGGAGGTTGTTCGCAATTTAGAGAGCAGTTTTTGGACTTCTCTGGATGATATTTCCTTAAAAAAGTGGCCTAGACGTTCTCCACCTCGTCGATAAGGGAGGGAAGAGAGTACTCGTGCAGATCGGCAGCACGTCGCGGCGCGGAGTTCGCTGGGATTGTCGCAACTCCGATGTAAAGTATTTATGTGGGTACCCGAATTGTGCCGGATGGCACATGGAGCGGCCAAAAATTAATTTTTTGGTACCGAAAAACCGGCCAGTGGAGGGGTAAAATGACCGATTTCTGGAAAATCCTTAACGTGCCCAAATTATACCAGTGAGAAGGGTACTGTTGCGATTATCTCAACCGCCTGGCACCGAGCAACCTGTTGGATGGGAATCCTCCCTCAATTCCCTTTATTGCTCCTGTAAACGGTTTCGCGTCAACTTCATGTTTTAACGTTGTTTTCGAGAGCATGGCGTTTACAGTAAGAAATGAAAAATACCTGTACAGTACTTGCTTCAACAGTGACACCGGCTTGCTAATATACTGTAGGTGTGCTGACGCACATGGACGTTGGTCGTGCTTGTGTCAAGTTTCTGAGTTCCCAAGAATTTCAAACGAATGACTCTCTGTTCTACACCTCAGGGCCATACAACAGCGCCATTGCGACTACAAGTGGGGAAGCGCGCGTAGTCACCAAACTGCTTGAAGTTCATACGAAGCATAGATAGACACAGGTCCCTCTTGCATCCAGACCTACTGTACCTAATACCAGAGTCGAAGGGAACATTCTCCGGTAAGTAAGCTGCATCCTTCACATCGTTTCCAATGCGAAGTCATATATGGATTGAGTGCTGCGATAACTTATGCAGTATGTACTGTACGGGTACGAGCACTTTCATCTTTTTCTGAACTGCAGTTCGCTGTCTAAATATCTTTGTGTCAGCAACATAACACAAGCACGCGTGACTGCCGGTGACGAAAGATAATGTGCTTCCAAAAAGCTCGAATAATTCCCACATCTTCTCTTAACGCTGAATTTTCAGGGTTGAGGTTTGCAATGTGCTTTGCAGGACACTTGGTCCTCCATGCAGCAAGAACCTTCAGGAACGGAATGGATTTGAATCACAGTCCACATGGGCCGCCATTTCCATTGTGAACGGCCTGCACCCGTCGACGCCCTAGATTCTAGGAACTCTTTCAGCACCGCCAATGCCCACGCGGCACGTACAAGGAGTGCGAGTTGGCCACCATCGCTGTCTGCGTGAAATTCTTCTCGGTCCATGGTCTGTGAAACAATGCATATGGAGAAAAGACATGACTTTGAAAATTTTACAACAGCGCTATTGCTTTCCAACACAATAAACACAGAGCCGTTGCGACAAACGCTTCAATGAGTGCTCTCGGCATGAACGAATACATGATCAGTTCATTGCAACAGCCTCTCATCGGAGCGGGCCGACTTTCAAACAAAAGTGCGTTCACGACAGCTGTCTCTACGTCGACCACTCACGATTCCATCCCTGTGATGGACAAGCTCACAGCCCAGCCATGCTGTAGTTTTTACTACTTGCATAGCTGTGCGACGTAACTCTGGTTAATTGGACGACAGCTTTCTGCTTTGACAAGTGCACTAAACCCGAATAGTACTTTAGGATTTTCCAGATTCTTAACGAGACTCGCGCGACGCAGGCTTTTTTGAGGAAGACAGCGTTTGAATTGCACATTCATGTATCGAAGAGTTTAAATGCATGTGTCAATAGGAGAAACTGCAGAAAAAACTTAAAGGGACAAAGAAGTGCAGAGGGGAATGGGTGCGGCTGCTTTTGACAGGCATCTCACATGTTTGTGTGGTACAGTAATGTGCGTACACGCACACATGGCAAGAGGTGCCTGCTTTGGCACTCGGCGGCAGTCGAGGCCAGGAGAAAAGGGGCATGGCGGTTGTGGTTGGGTGGGCCAGCAGGAGGAATTGCGCTCGGAGAGAAGGAACGAAATGGCGGGGTGTCGCGAAGGGAAGAGGGGCGCGAAGGAGAGAGGGCAGAAAGAAGCGCGAAGGGGTGCAGCGGAATGTTAGAAACAGAGCTCCCGGCGCTGGAAGGCGCGGCGGCGCGGGTAGGGTAAGTAGTATAAAGGAACAAACCGGGCGCGAAGGAAGAAGAAAGGGGAACTGAACATCAGGGGAATTCCTGAGGAGTCGAGTGGATTCTCGACGAGCGGAGGCTTGCACCGGGTGGATTCCCGCCAACGGCCTCTGGACAGCAATAAAAACTTGGTTTGACAGTACCCTTGTACTTAACCTATTGCGCAGAATAGTACCCTTCCCAGTGGCTCAATGTGGGACGCATAAGATGTTATGAAAATTTTGGGATGGTTTCAAGAACGAAAGTAGGAAGGGTAGGAGTCAAAACGAAAAATCCTACTGGAGCGTGCGGGAAATCTCGATGTTAATCTGCACGCATGGAACCAACGAAGGAAATGGATATTATAAATCAGGCTTGCGATTCTCGAAATGGGAATCTGAAATTCAGGGTTGATATCGCATACATGGCATATGCGCCAAATACAGTATCCTGCCAGCGGCCATCGTTTTTGCTTTATCGAGAGGCACCTAGCTGGAGCATTAGGAATGAAGTAGCTCTGCATTAGCGATATAAGTAGATACGTTTGCGGATAGATATCAAAAGAAAACAACGAACAAAAAGAACAGAACAACACAGTGCTTTAATTGCGCAACCAAATCCTAGTGCAACTAGTCCGGCATAGTCGAAGGCTCGAGAGGGCGTCAAGCATTGACAACCGAGCAGTGAGGAGACTGTTGAACCACGCGGCGACATACTTCGCGTTTGAATCTTAGAACCTCGCGCACGGAATCAGCCCATCCAACTCGACACCCCTGTCTCCGGGCAACGGTGACTTGTTGCATCCGCTGCCCTTCGGTAGTCTACCTTCCTGCTGTACGCGGCCCGTTTGTGGACAAACCGGAGAGACCAACTCTTCCCGACAGTTCCCGTCGTACGCGGCACGCGCTCTCGGAAGGGTCGGCTTTTCAAGATCTGACTCGACATTGAAGTCAGACATATATTTACTTCGGTAAATATTCTACCAACGCAGAGAACAAATTGTTACGGTTTTGACACTCGATAATAGCCATATTGTTGAAATACATGTTTTAACAGAACAGGTACCATTCTGGAACCTATAATTTCTCAAAGGCGTCATCATCACTAACTACTGCATAGTCATCTACGGCTGCCTTCATATCCGCCTAGAAGACAGTAGAATCATTGCACTTCCAACCTAAATTACTCTTAGACACAATTCCAGCTTGCATTTGAAAGGGAAGAGCAATGTGTGTTGTAGAAACCACGTCGTCTGACGATTTATTCCGTAATTCTTTCAGGGCGGACTCGAACCCCAATATCTTCGGATGATAGGGCTCGAGCCGGCCTGGAACGTCACGCATAAGCCACTTCCGGTGCAGCAATAAAACATTTGTCAGCGCTGCTGGCCACGTAACACAGACTTCCAAAAAAGACCCGTCATCCACAACACGGAAAGAAAAATCTCCACGTCCCACATGGACGGCAAACAAACGGCAACTGACACACAGATAGTCGTAGAACCAGGCTCCTTCCAGGCTGATAAAATGTACAAAGGCTTGAAAACCATCTCCCCTATTACAACCTCTTCCCCTATATCCGCATTTCCTTCATTTAGAATATTTTCAATTACTTCGTCCGCAGAGCTACCGAGCCGGCGACATTTCGATGACGATTCAAGGTCGTGCCCCGTGCTTCGGCGGTTTAGAGCCTCCCCGTCCACGTCTTCTACATCTGGGCAGTTCAACATAAAACATAGGAGAATAAAGCCGTTAGTTAAAAGAAGAAAGACGTTAATTAAATGTCAAACTTACTTTTCGTTAGAACCCCTTTCTCATATTGTTTTAACAGGTCCTAAAATTGTTGAGGTTACAACCGCTGAAGACATCATTTTACTACCAAACAACTTTTGGGTCATCTTTTCACGATATCTCCCCCTCTTCGAATTTTGCACGCAAGAGACAGACTGGCTTAGACCGCTTAATGAGGCGTGTGGGCATGACGGAGAGGAAGGGGATGGGAGGATGGCGTCGCGAGTCTCGGTTGCACAGCCTTTCTGGTGGGGCGATGGGAGCGGACAGCAGAGACTGATAGTCTCAAGAGGGAACCGGATTTATATCACACCATGGCGATCTGCTGTATCTTATTGACACTACCAGGCGTTCCATTTGGGGTACTGTTAAAGAATGGCCCGATATAGGGAGCTGATTCGGGACACAGTAGTGGTTTGGGGAGCTCAAGTATGGTTTCTACGGAGGAAAAGCGGTGGCACGTTTGTTAAGCACAAGTGCTGGCTCTTCGCAGCTTCTCTTCTTTTGTTATCGCTGCATCTATCGCGCTTAAGTACGTATCGCATCGCTCCTATCGCCTACACTCCGCATTGCGCTCTGTCGCTTTTGCATTACGTCGTCTCGCTGCAGTGCTCTTCGTCCATGCTGCGTGGTACGTCGCTGGATGCTTTGGTTCGTATCGGATCGCTGTCCTGCGCAATGCATTTTCGCATTCAGGTCACTTCATCCCGCCTGATGAGCTTTGTTCGCATGTACACTTACCCTCCTTGCTTACCGCAATTGCTGAATACTCTTCAGTATTTAAGCATTCATATTTGCCGCGCTCCTTCGTTTCTTGCATCGCGTCCGTTCCGCTCGCAATGCTCCCTCCACTTCCTTTGTCCGATTTGCTGCATCTCGCCGTGGCACCATGACGTTGCATTATTGCTGAAGGTGTAGTGACGTATTGGTATCCATGCACTAACTAGATCCAATTTTAATGATCTAATCCATTTGCATTTCCACAACTATAAACTGTCCAACCTGCAACACAAAAAGGGCGCGCTTTAGTTCGAATTCTCGCGGGAAATGAAGGAAAATCCGTAAATGGTTCCTAAACATCGCCACTTGGCTATAGCCAATAAGAATAGAGATAAAATATATTAAAATACAAAAATTAAAAAATCACGAAAGTTACGGAATGCGATTAATAGGAACGAAAGGTTGGTTTCAGCCATTGTTTTTATGGCATAAGTTTTTATACATTGAGTGTATTACAGCAATATTGTTTTTGGGGAAAAGGGCTGCACAGTAAGAGTGTTGAACCGTACTTTATTTAAATACTGAATAGTTGGTTTTCGAACTGTATGCCTCCCAATGTTCGAAAGTATCGAAAACAGCAATATTTTCATTTTTATGGACATAGTTCTCTAAGTCTGGCATTTATTTACAATATTTTTTTTTCAAGGCATCTAAATGGCATGTGAGAGTGTCCAACTAAAACGAGATCGGAAAATACTGTGTTGATTATTCATAAAATTTGAAATTCATTTTTGGCGAGAAGTAGAAATTTGGCGGAAGCATATATTAACGGGCTTGCGGAATGGTTGGTCAACCAGGGTTAACGAATAGGGTGAAGGAGCTGTAGCACTGTAAGGGGGGACACAATGATAGTAAAAATCTCACACCCTAGTATGATCCGGCAAAGCTCTTATTCCCGTCATGTACTGCTCGGGAGTTAACCCTTATACGGTGACATCAGCGTTGAACTCCACCCGTTATGCCAAACCTCATGACCGGATCCTTTCACATATCGCTAACCCCACAATTATGTTTTGCGCGAGGACAACAATTTCTGTGTTATGCACATGGTCTTAACGTGGTTTGTGCAAACCGGCGCTTTCGAGCGTTTTTTGGCGTATCGCCTCTCGTTTGTTCAATTATTTGGAATCGATTGCTTGAAAAGCTACCAGCTGGCGCTTGTCCTCAGCACCTGCTATGGGCATTGATGTTTCTTAAGATATACGGGAGTGAGGCAACTAACAGAGCAATTTCGGAGGCAGATGAGAAGACCGTTCGGAAATGGTCCTGGATATTTGTACAGCTCCTGTCGGAGCTAGATGTCGTACGTTTTATCTAACACATTTCACCTCGCATTGGATTCGCACTGAGTTAGAATTGTATTAAGATATCTTAGGAAAAGAGACGACATGACTCAGGAACACCACAATGTTTTGTATCAATTGATGGGACTGACTGCATGATTATGGAGCCGAGCCCATTCGACCCGAGGTGGTTCTCGCACAAGTGTAGGGGACCTGGGTTCAGATAAGAAGTTGGAATTTGTATCGCAAGTGGCGGTATAGTCTGGGTCTATGGACCATTTCCGTTCGGGAAATATGCGGATCTCACTATCTTTAAGATGGGCCTGAAACGTCTCATATCGAATGGAGAGCGGGTGCTTGCTGATGGTGGATACCGTGATGATATGGTGATGGCGCAAGAATCATTTCCCGGCCCGCAGAAAGCATTTTATGCAAGATGCAGAGCTCGCCATGAGGCGGTTAATCGTAGCTTTAAGCACTTTTTCTCCATAGGCCATCGTTTTCGACACGATATTTCGCTTCACTCAATACGTTTCCATGCTGTGTGTAACATTACGCAGTTAATGCTAGAGTATGAAGATCCTCTGTTTGAAATGTAGATTACTTTTAAAGTTGTTACATTGTGTCGTCATGGGAAGTACAGTCTGAATGCTAAAATATCTGGACAACTTTTTAGCTTGAGTACATGCCCTGTGTGACCCTCGATACAGAAGTATTTGGATATCTTCGAAGAATGGAACGCCATGCTCTCTATCAAAAAAAACTCTATATTTTGAGATGTTTTCGCATTTTGCGTTATAACGCAAAATGCGCAAAAATCCGTATTACGCCATATATATATGGCGTAATACGGATTTTCCCGCACGCTCCTGTGGACCGCGTTCGTAATGTCCATGCCCTGAGAGTCGATTGGCGTATTTTTTTAAAACAACTTTAGCCTTTAGGATTTTTTAATAGAGACAATGCGGAAACCATGGCAGATTTGGGATTCTTAATTCCATTTAGGAGGTTCACATGAGAGGTAAATGAAATTTGGTGTCATAATTTCAAACGATAGATCTTTAGTGCAGCTAGCGGTCGTTCAGTCTGTGAAGACCTCTTTTGGTAATTAGCGTCGGTGCAATGACGGTAGCTGCTGCCGATGTGCAAATCCCTGTTTCTATCCCCTACCTTCATCTTTGTGTCAAATAGTTGACACTTCCTCAAAACAACTATTTATTTTTAATCTGCATCGCCATTGGTCACATACACAAATGCAAGCAACTACGTCCATGTTTTCCAGAAAAGATGAACTAATTGCGTAAAGACATTGGCCCACAGAATGTATTCCCG